AAAAGAATAAATTGAAAAGCTTTTGTTTCAGAATTACTTTATGTTTGAAAATCAACATTGTAACATCTAGCCCCTCTTGATTTAGATAAAAATTAGTTTTTAAGTAGATTTTGATAAAAGTGAATAAAATTTGTAGTTGAAAATTTTTTAAGTCCAATGAAATATGTAGTTAAAATTAATTGTTAACTTTGATTTAAATTTTAGTGAACTTTTTTAACTAAAACAAACTGAGGCTTAGTAAACAAAAGTTTCGAATTGTTGTATCTATATAACGTTAAGCTCCTCCCTGGTTCAACTAAAAACTTATATTAAAATTTAAGTGAAAATCAACAATTAATTTTAATCACACATTTTATGGGATCACAACTTTTCAACCATACATTCCATTAGTTTTAGAATTTACTAAAACTTTGATTTATATAAATCAAACAGGGGCTAATTATAAATGTGTTTAGATATTTTATTATTAAATATTTATCTACGATAATATATATTCACTATAATTCTTCTAAAAGGAAAAAAAATAGTATCAATTAAGTCTCAAAATTAATACAATTAGAAATCCAATACATGCAGAATAGTAACAAATTTAGGATATGAAAAATTAATTTTATTGATGTGAGTTAAAGTTGGTATTTTGAGGATAAATAATTGGAGAAAATAAATGTGTTGCTACTCAGTTTTTTAAATTTGCCGAACACCTAAAATAGTTGTGATTAAATAATTAGAAATTGCGACTCTAGAAGCAAATTCCCAAAGTTCCATAGAGGTATTCTATAAATGTTTGCAAAAGTAAATAATTCAATGAAAGAACGAAATATTGGAAAGAAAATTGAGATTTCAAAACCAGACATTGAAGGGAAGATTATATTCGCAAATCCTTAAGTGCAGAGAGATAATGAGATAAAGTTTATTATACACAAAACTTCCACACAAGTTTCCGAGGGTTGACAATCCAAGCTTGACAAGTGCGACTTTCAATTTTTTGTTTTGTTTTGTTTTGTTTTTTTTGTTTCGTTTTTTTTTTTGTTTTTTTGGAATTTGATAGTATTAAGCCCGACTCAACAATAAATAAAACGTTCTAGATATCAAACTTTTAAATCCAATCTAATTTGACGTAATATATGATTATTGATTGCTCTCTTCCTAATTATAATTTATTTATTTTTTAATAGTTTTCATTGATGACTTCTTTTCTGGCCTTTCTATGGCCAACCCTCAAAAAAGAAGGTACTAAAGATGGAGAGGCTTAACAATTATTGACTCATTTCATTTAATTCCCTTTGTACCTTTTCACCTTACAAATGAAGACAGTTTACGTGAATAGCATTAAAGTGGGAAATACTATTGGTACGTACTCTTTCATTTAAATGCTATACTTTTTTAGGGGTCCAGTTAGTAAAGAGACTACTTCGAAGTAGAAAATAAAATTTTAATGTGCAAACATAAGTTTTTTATTTTCTTCGTTTCTCTATAAGTAGTCTCGTAAAAATATTTTCTTTCCCCGTAAACTCAATTATTCGAAACTGGTAAGTTTTTATAGAATGAAAATTTCATCGAAAAGTTAAAGTTGTCAAAATGGTTTAAATTTTCTAAGATTAAGTTCGCCATGTATCAATGGATTTATAAACAAATTTTCGCTCTTTAGACTTAGATTAATTTGATGTAAAATTTCTTTTTATTTTACTCTTGAATTTGTTGTAATATGTGGTTTAAAATAAACAATACTCAGTGGTTTGGATTCTTTTTAGTCATGACATTTCGTCCAAACTTGTTGACACGTTAGAAGAAATTACACCGTCTGCCTCATTTACTTCAAGAATCGTATATGCCATCGTTTTAATAAACAATTTTTGAAGATACGCCTTTTCCATTTCCAAACTCAAATAAGGCCCATTTCTTACCAATACCATTTCTAACCAATGCCTACCCATCTCAAATCCGGACCCAATGCCGGATCCTTCAATCCAAACCCGTAGTACGCAAACCTAATACCTCTTCAATGCCACCACCGCTTCCTTCCACAACTACTAGCGGATTCCGCCACCACCACCTTCCAAGGACTCGGGCCTCCTCCAACTTTGTTAACATCCACTCTGCTAGCACCAAGGGCAACACCACCAAGCTTCCAAAGTCTCAAGAGTTACTTTTAAAATAAATAATTTCTTTCTTTAATTAAAGTTAAAAATAAACAAGTTACTTATTTTGACCGGAGGTAGGAGCTACTTTTAAATGACTAATTTTTACTTTTCTAAGTTTGGTATGAAGCAAATTATTATCGATCTTTTGTTAATCATGCCAAACAGTTAGTAAATTTGTCAAAGAAAAAGTTTCTAAAACTAGAATTTCAATACTTGTTAAAAGTGAAATCACTTTTTATCCACACCTTGTGTTGGACTCACAAATACGGCTCATTTATTTATTACTTATTTATATCTGTTTATAAACACAATTATTTGTAAAATTTGTCAATATGCTATGTAGTTCATATTTAACATCACCTCTTGAAATAATTATCATCTAGATTTAAATCAATTGGGTCCATTCTAAATTAACAGCCAGTAACATAGCCATATAATTTCATCCGATTGTTATTTTCGACATCTAATTTCTATAACACTAAGCCCTAGTCTGGCAACAACTTCTACAAGATTAAAAGCAATCTTTTTATTATCGCAAAGTGTAGGTTGGTCCCAGTGTGAGAATTCATCTGAGAAGGAAGTCAAAAAAGGCAACAGCGTGGGCCCATTTTGCATTGGCGACAGTCAAATAATGAATTAAAATATGGATGAAAATTTCTCCCAAACAGGCGCTAATTATAACTTAATTAAAAAGTCGAGTGGCGCTGGTTGACGATAAATTAAGAAAACAAATAAATGGAGAATTAAGTAGTTACGACGCAATTTCTGAATACTCAAAAACTATCATTTAAAAAGGTGATAAGATCTCGACAAAACAAGTTAGAAGAGGGAGGCGTAGACTGAAACTAACACATTCTTTCATAATTGTTAAGATTCAAATTATTTTCAGTCTTCTACTAGATCTAACAATGAATAGAATGGAATTCCAAAAAGTTACACATTTTCTGGAATGTATATACCCTGTCAGTGAAGTGGGGATGCAAATAATAACTCATCAACACAGTGGGAACTGAACTTTATAAAGGAACAAAGTTGTTCTGTTTTGGTGGGGCTGTTTTAAATAAGGAACCTTAAAGTGGTAGGAAGAAGCCCAGTATCCAATTCTGTATGCATTTGATTCCTTGAGGCCTAAGTGTTACTTTTCCAAGCTTTATCACACATTGTTAGGATTTTTTCTCATCTCCCAGGTCCCAGGAATAATGATCAATTCAGATTTGCAGTAATAACAGGAAAGAAAATACAGCAAATGGCAGAAACATAAAACAAGGAAAGAACTCAGATTAAGGGACACAAGAACTTCATATTTTAAGGACAAAATTTCATCAACCATTGCAAGGATTTAACCCCAGTCAATCTGCCATTAAAAGAGGAAATTACACAGTGTTTATCTTACACAAAACACCACCACTCACCACTCAACCGGGAAGAACCAGAAAACCTCACCAATAAACTCTCACAGAAAGTTACAGAAGATGGTGTTATAGATTTTCTCTCACCATCTCACTTTCTCTTACTAAAGAATATCATCTCTCTTGCTCACTCACATAATGTGATTCTCCACATTCTCTTGCTCACCCTTTCACGTTCTCAGCCTTGGTCACATTTATGGGCAACGGTCATAGAGATTTACAAGAAGTGTATGCAAGATTCAGTTACGACTATTACCAGACAATTAGTTAGAATCTAAGGCTCCTAACTAACTTTCTAACTCACTAACTAATTTCCTAACTAATGAGTTTAACAAACCGAATCAAGAGTCAACATTTTCTCTACGCATATTTATGCCCAAATGAATTGGATAGTTATAATTGTTTAGGATTTAATTTAAAAATTAATGAGTTTTTTCAAAGATTAAGTTTTATTATGATTTTGAATATGGTATTAGAGTAGACAAAGATCATTCTTGATTTCTTTAAAGATTAATATTTTTATGAAGTAGTTGAAAGGTATTAGAGATTCTTATTTCTAAATGTCATGTACACTTATTTATAAAAATTGTCCACGTGTCATGCCATTGAGAAAACTAAATGTGCTATGCGCGCGAGTGAATCCCACCTTAGATAAATAAAATTGGCTTAGATCGTATGGTTTTACTGAGTCCACCACTTAATATCATCATTTTTGAGTTTAAAAAAAAAAATTGTGGTTTTTTTGGTCGAGGATTGTAGATTTTATTCAATTAATTTTTTCACAATATAGTCAAATTCCTCTTTTTGAGAATTAAAGCAATCCAATGACCGTATCTAGATCAATCCATACTTCTTATTATCTAACGAGAAAAATATGTTGCATATTGTTAATCTCAACTACTATAGTATTTTATATGCTGGTTTGGTGAGGTGGAGCAAAAAATATTTTGTCTAATATTTACAAAAAATGAAGAAGCTAAAATCATTGTGTCCAGTGTTGCACACCAAACTTGACGGATAATTAATAGATTGAAGTAGTTATTCTTCCTTGGAAATTTGGAAAAATAAATAAATAAAACTGATAGACAAAATAGAAAACCGACAAATTACAGTCTCTGCAATGCCATAATTATTTTTGACATTATTGGAACATATTCACAATATGAAAAAAAAAAAGGGGAAGTTTTACTCTACATTACAATGCATAAAATTGTCGAAAATATTGGAAGCGGAAGCTCCAATACCGCTCGTTGATCCCAAATCGGATTGTAAAAAATGAGATTTAATGACAATATTTACTAAGATCACAGAATGAATAATAAGATTTAAAATAAAGAAGAACAATAAGGATTAATCGTAGAGGAGCGATGTTTATTACTGAACAATATGGAGAAAACAAGTAAAACTTAGCAAAATTGTTTCTCACAAAATTGACAGAGGAGCCTCATATTTATTGAAAAAATCCATTCGCAGAACTAGAGTTATAGATGAAATAAAATGCCTAAAAGTTTCCTTGTTTGAACTCTTCAAGTCCAACTCAATTTCCAACTCCCAATAGGTTTCAAAATAGAACTTTAAATAGAATTTGACAATTGAACTTGAATAGGATTCCTCAAAGCATTCCAACTAGAATTTCTCTTGTTGTGCACTTCAATTAGAATTCTACAATTATTTCAACAAAAGAATTTGAGTCCCTCCAAAATTCTAACATAAAAGTCCTCCAGAATTAAATTTTGTTACACCGCTGAAATACATTTCATTCATTCATATTTTCAGCCTTGAATAAAGGCCAAAATGATGAACCATATAATTGAGAAAAAAATCACTTGGGTTTTAGAATAACAATCTTTAATTATGAAATACTAAATTAAATAAATAAATTTGTCATCGCTCTTTTTTTTTTTTTTTTTTTTTATGACGGAAGAACTCGCAGCCGCTACTCTTTAAGTGCGTATTGGATAAACCCTCGTGCTAGTGCAATAGCCTGCAAATCACGCCAACCAAGTAAATCGCACTAGGCAAGCCCTGTGTAACAGATTCGATCGAGAAAGTGTTGATATGGGAAATTGAACTCGTGATCAAAGGCCTCCGTGCTCATCTACTCCATCAACTCGGTCACCCCATGAGGGGCATTTGTCACCGCTCTTTTTTTTTTTTTTGATATCTAGGTATTTACCTTACAGTGATTAAATCCTGGAGTCTACACCTTAGCCCCTCAAGCTGCAGACAGGTTAAACCGCAGGTTGTGTCCCAAACTGACCAGTGCTCAAGAGCCCCCCAACTAATCTGCCAAAGTGCCAAGCAAGTCGTTTCCCATCTTTGCACCTTGCCTTCCAGGATAAATTCTGCCTTCCAGGAGAATATTTGCCTTCCAAAAGCCTTTCAGGAATCGAACTCACGACCTCTGATTTGCTAGTCTTAAAGCGCCATCATCTTTGCCAGTTGGAATGTTCCTTGGGGGGCACATTTGTCACTGCTCTTTTTTTTTTTTTTTTTTTTTTTTTTTATTNCTTGGCTTTAATTTTCCTTTTGCTTGCGCTGGTGGTGCAAATCTGGTTTGTTTTTGCAGTTGTTTTTGAGCGAATTAGCAAAATTTTTGACGAGAGATGCTTTGCAATTTGTGGCTGATTTGCAAATGGAATTTAGGAACATATTAAGAGGGTATTTGATGGGATTAAAATTAGATTTTTTTAGTAGATTGAATTAGAAAATTATGAAATGTGTCGTCAAAAAATTATGGGACCCATGAAAAATGTGGTTAATATTGATTGGTTGATTTTGAGTTAGATTAAAATCAAATTTTAATCCAAACCAAACAAGTACTAAATATGCAGAAAGGAGGCTAAGATGAGTTAAAATAAAATGAGGATGATATGCGACAACGTTGACTGGATGGAAGCTGTGTTTGGGCATTATGGTGACTCCCTCTGGTTAGTTTAAATTTGCCATTGGAGGAGGAGTTTCAAGGTGTTAGCGACGGCCACCAGTGCAATGAGTTTCAAGGTGACTGCCACCACTGCACAATTTGAGTGGGAAATTGAGGGAAAATGTTGGTGGTGGGAAGAGGGTAGTGGATGGTGAAGGGATTTAAAAATAAAAAATAAAAAAAATAATAATTTATTTGGGGCTCGTTTGTACTTTCTTTAAAAATTTTGGTACTATAGTTGCAATTAATTTTTTATTTTTTTTTCTTTTTTTTTTTTATTTAAATAAAAAAATATTAAAAATTATTTTATAAAAAAAAAAAGACCCCCACATATTCTGAGATAGTTGTAGATCATATTTAAAATTGTCACAACTTATGAAAATTGACAAAGGTATACCTCCTATTACAGATTTTATCAAAACGCAAAATTGATTCGATTTTCGGATACCTCCTATTACAGATTTTATGTAAACGCAAAAATGATTCGGATTTTGGACATTTAAACTTGTTTAATTTTCGCAATACATAAGTAAGTAAAATACCTACAAATTTTTGAGTCTGTTGATTAGAATTTGTTTTAGGAGATAGAAAACAACTTAAATCTTTACCAAATTATTAGACTTTACAAAATTATGTTTCATTTCCGAGCTCGAGTGTCTAGAAAATTCAAGTGTACATATTTCTCTTAGGGTCACTTTATGATGAAATAGATTTTGGTAAAAGTTGATTATATGTATGGTTGAAAAGTTGATAAAAGTTATAGGTTCTATAAAATGCGTGGTTGAAATGAATTTGAGGGGAAAAAAAAAAGTTTAAAAAATGGGGCCAAATATGAGCTTAATTAGGATCTGATTTTGCAACTGGAATGAAATGTTGAGATTAATTTACTTACTTTTAATGATTGAGTACCAACTTGATCATTAGATAATAAGCTCGACCACCCCAACAGTATCTCAAATACAAAAGAAAAATTAAACAAATACCATGATTTATATATAAAGGATAATTTAACAACATTAATAAACTTACAAGTACAGGTCAATTTTCAAATCTTACGGATATTTTTCAAGAAATGGACTGTTGCAAGAAGATTGCATTTAAACATAATGATAAACACTTATATAATTTGTTGAATACTAGACACTTGTTTACTAGGCAAATACAGGAGATAATTTGTCTACACACCCTTTTCTATGCTTGAAGGTCCATTACCATGGCCAAATCCAGGACTGTGGCCGGGTGTCGTCGGCCGAAAATCTCCGCCTTCAGTCTCAGTCTCGAGTTTATCGACTATAGGGCGATCACTTTCTGCACTACTGTCTGGCTTTTGCGCTTTATTTTCTGAAAACTCACCACGTAACATGTGATTATCGACCCTGATAACATGCGTTACACTTGGAGTTTTCTCCTCGTTAGTCATAAATTTACTGCCATTAGTATTCTTCTGTGCCATCAGAGGCCTTGCCTCAGTAGAGAGAATTCCATAGGAGAAAAACAGTGAAAGAAGAAGAATGGTAGTGCAAATGACATTGGATTTGGCCATTGCTAAAAGAAGGGTTTTCAAGAGGGGGAGATTTTTTGTGCTTAGAAATTATTTTCCCGTCTGAGTATTTATAGAAGGAAATTTTGGTATAATTACAGAAACCCTCAACTTATATACAGTGAAAATGTAAGATAATAGAAGTAGATTGTCAAATGTTGCTTGTATCTCCCACTATCTCATGTGCTTATATGCAATTGTGCCAAAATAACTCTCATATTATTTGAGTGGTTTTCAATCTCTTCTTAATTTTAGGCAAAAACACTGTTTCAATTTTGTGTATATCTAGAGAAAATCTTTAGTGACGTGGTGTGACCGCCCAATGCCAAGACATCACCTCGGGGGTGTGTGGTGGGCCACCACCGAGGTGGCTCTCCCTTATAGGGTGGGTGTGTGGTGGGCCACCCGCTGAGGTGTGCTCCTCGACGTTGGACAGTCGCATCATGTGACAGTGCAACTGTCCTACTGAAGATTTTCTCGTATTTCTATGCACAAAAATTCAAAGACAATACTATAATCAATATCCATTTTCATTATTATATCAACACAGAAAAATTGACCTTTATTTATTAAACGCTAAAATGTTGATTTTGAAATATACAATACTTTTAAAAAAAATTCCCAAAACTTAACCAACTCTTCAACACAACAAAAGTTGATTCTTATGAAATCACATTAATACTACACACCAAGTCGAGATTCTCTCCATATACAAGGCGTAAAGGTAGGTTGAGTGTGGTTTATGGGAGTTATTATTGAATTTAAATAACGACACATTCTCATCAACCGATATTAAAAAACAGTGGGACGAGCTGGCCCACATAGACAACCCAACCAATCTTTCAACAACGATAAATACCACATGCATGATTTCAACTAATCAAGAAACGATGAGGACTATGAACTTTTCAAAGCTTTCCACAATGGCCAAAATTACATGTCTCAGAATGTTTTTCCAGACAGTTAATTGTCATGAAAGATTTTATTAAAAGTTGCATCTACATAAAGCCCTTCTTGATGAAATATTTATATGAAACTTGTATCACTATCGGTTGTTAACCCTATTAGCTTCCACGGTAACTTTTAGTTGTTGTTAGGGTTGCCTAATATTTCACAACTTGAGGTAAATAATTCAGCCAACTGTTATAACAAGTTGTCATGACTGTAGTTTCTTTAGTTTTTCAACTTGAGTTCTTCCAAGTTGGGTTGAGGTGTTGCAAATTTACCTGTGTTGATAACATGTGGTAACTGTACCCACTTACCAAGAGTCTAAAAAGATTTGACTTGAAAGGTACTGACTCTTTTTTTTTTATATCCAAATATCCCAACTTACACTAGACTAAATTCTGGATCCCCAAGATCCTTGCCCCTGGAACCTTGGAGGGAGTAAATCACGAGTTATGCCTCAACTGGAACACAGGTTCCCCCCACCCCCTGTACACTTCTACGCACAAAAGATCCTCCTTCAAAGTGATTGTTCCATACCATATAAATCTGGCCGCAGGTTCCCACCAAGATTCGAACCTCCACCTTACCGCTAGAATCAAGACAAATGTTGATTGATCCACCAGTTGAGTTGTGCCCCCAGGGGCAAACACTGACTCTTTTATTATGCTTAAATGTTGCTGGATTGATTGAATAACCACAATTTTAGCAATTCTTATCTTCATATATAGAAAGTTTGATATTGCCACCAAGATGAAAAATCACATTAATGAAGGAGTATCATATTTTTTATTTACTTTCATCAAGAAATTAAATATATAGAAGAGATATCCAAGAAAATATTAAAATAGTCGTGTCATTTGAAGATAATTTAAGAGATATAGAATGGCTGGATTTCTTCACCCTCCCCTTTTACCACTTGGAGATGTGCCCTGGGGGCACATTTGTCACCGCTCTTAAAAGGTTAAACCCCAACCTTAAAGGTTCCCCACCGCCCCTGCCCTGGAGCATCGTGAGAGAGGTAAATCGCAGGTTATGCCTCCAAAGATATAGAGTGGAAGGCTGCTTGTACACTTGCACTTACCCAATAGCCAAATCCATATTTCAGGATTCGAACCCTTGACATGGCAGCCTCAAGCAAAGTTGAGTTTCTCCACCCTCCCCTTTTACCACTTGGAGATGTGCCCTGGAGGCACATTTGTCACCGCTCATTTTTTTTATTTTTATTTTTTAACGAGGTGTCCCAACTTGCGCCAGACTATATCCTCGTCCCTGAACCTCAGGCCCCTCAGCAGCTCAAGAAGGTAAATCGCAGGATGTGCCCTTATTGGTTACCAGATTCCCACACGGCTTTTACTTCTTCCCCAAAGGGAGCCTCTTCACTGCCTTACAGCAACTTGCCTTCCAAGATAAATCTTGCCTTCCAAGTTGTGCCTTTCAGGAATCGAACTCTCCACGCTTGGTTCCAAAGCCCCCCAATGTGATTGTTCCGCCAACTTGGATGTGTCCCGGGAGGCACATTTGTCACCGCTCTTGTTAGTATATAAGGTGGTTCAAAGGCAGATGTCCGAAGCCAAGTTTTTGTTAGAAAATTTTGTGCACGTTTAAGGTCTTTAATAAAATAAATAAATTTTTCCCACTGCAATGGGTTGTGCTGAAACTAAATTTAAATAAATAAATCCCATTTCTTGAGGAGTTTTAAATATGGATTGTACTGATTTCAACTTTAGCTGAAATTTGTGCTCATGTTAGGTCTTCAATAAAAAATGAATTCATGACAATAAGATGGTTCTATAAACCTTCAACGATACCTGATTTCTGGGGGACAAACTTTGAACGATGGCTCCGAGAATCCCTGTAGAATCAATCTGTTGTTGTATTTAATCCACCAGGACAATTGCAAAGAAATGATTATCCATGATTTTATCCACAGACTCCATTACTCTTTCACAGCTAGAGCAAATCACAGGATAATCATGATTAAAATTAAACTTATATTTCATTGCCATCCCTGAGGATTAGATTCCTGTCCATTGAATCCATACAGTGCAGAATATGAAGTGCAATGCAATTTCTGCAAATCCATTTCAAACGAAGGCCTGAGATCCACATGTGTATACACACAGCATGTTGAAATTGGGAGACTTAGTCTGCTGATTGCTTCACATGAATACAAAAGGCTGCAAATAGAATCTCCCTTGGAATCACAGAGGGAATGTTGAATTTCTGTCTTCGGTAATGGACATGTATATTGGCGAAGAACTCATCGAGCAATCAAGAAGTGCGAACATTGTGGCGTCGTTGAAGCTGAAAGGCACGTTCCAATCTAGGCTGAAGCCTTTGCTTGTCCGTTTCCAGGCGCAGGTGGACATGGATAGATCAGTGATGTAAATGATTTGGTGATTGTAAACAATGGAGGTTATGGTGTAGCAACCAGTGTGTGTGGTGAATGTGAGCTGCTGCTGATCATTGCAGGTTACATAAGACTGGAAATGTGGATCACCACATCCAGGGCCAGACGGCCAGCGCCAAATGGATACGTTATTGGGACTTTGCCGCAGTTTTTTTGAAAGGAAATTAAGCAGGGGAAAATGATGAGAACTGAGGGAAGGCAAATGGAGGAAATTTTCATGGTGATCACTCGCTACTAGCACACTAGAGAGAGAGTGATAGGTGTAATGTTGTGTGTGTGTGTGTGTCTGTCCGTCTGTCTAGAGAAGAGAGGGGGGGGGGGGGGGGGGGGGGGGGGGGGAGGGAGATTTAAAAAATATATTTCGAAGACATTGTTGATTAAGCATGTTTGGATAAACTTAAAACTAATTTAAAGTTTTATTTATTTATTTATTGGCAAAATATGTTTGGAGTTTTTTAAACAGTGCTTTCTTTTTCAGTAAAATGATTTTAAAGCTTGGAACAACTTCGACTAAACTTAAAATTAAAAGGAAAAGTTTTAAAATAATTTGTTATCAGTAAAATATAAATATAAGTGAAATGTCAAGACACTCAAGATTAACCAACATTCATAGAAACCAAATCAAGAAATGCAGAAAATAAAAGTGCAAAAATAATGAACACGATGATTTTTTCCGGCTGAAGCCCCATAGGTTCAGCACAAGTGCCTAATTCCCTGTTGAGCATCCACTATCAATGGATTCAGCTCGGTTGCACTATAAGGCCCCCAAAATCAGGCAGTAAGTATACAATGTTTCAGAATATTACAATATACAAGTCTGGACGAACAACTCGATACACTCCACTTTGTGTTAAAATGAAAACGTCTTTCCTGTTATCCTCTCCGAATGAGAAAATGTATTCTAAAGCAGGAAGATTACTATTAGGCACTGTGCTGCACTTGACAGGAGAATCTGGAGCACAGCTGAAAGGGACATCTGCTTTAGAAAAGTTTCCGCTCTCCTGGGGAGTTTCTGATGCTGCCCATATATGATTGGCATATAAATCTCCATACAAGTAACTGCATACAATCATTCAAGGTTAGTTTGCCATTAGTGTTACAGATTAAAGCCCAGTTCCTAGCTTCAATAGCTATGGTAAATAGAGAACAAAAAATAAAAAATCAAAATCAAAGGACAAATTTAGAGAAATACTATAGTCATCTCATGCCTCTCAAAGTGTCATACAGAAAGTGGTCCTACCAAAAAATTTTAGGTCAACCTAATACAAATATGTAATGTGAATATGCCCCTGAATAAAAATAGGTCGATCCAAATTCGAGTGGACGAGTGACAAAATTGATTAAGCTCTACACAGTCCAACAAAAAGTATTCTAGATTTTGTGAACTAATGAAGAGAATTGTGTATTACCTTCCGTATGTGCACTGATCAGTCTTGGCTCGGTAGAAATATCCTCCTGATATTGCTGCGGATCCTAGTTTATTTATCTCCGAATGACTATATCCCACTACGGGCAAGATTGAATCGATGGAATTAGCAGAAGTATTTCCCCCGGGGGTTTGCTGAGGTTTAAAAACAAGTGGACCTTCATAAACGCGCCATCCATAGTTTCCCCCCTTGGATATGATGTCTACCTCTTCATATTGATCCTGCAAGAGTTAAATCACGCATTTATCCATCAGTAAGCATATTTATTTAAAGAACCGAAAAAACTGGCTAGAAATCTCCAAAACCTGTCCAACATCAGCGCAGAGAAAATAGGAAGGCCTTTCTGAATCAAAGCTACATCGCCAAGGATTTCTCAAACCGAGGGCCCAAATTTCCAGCCCCAATTCTTTATCTTCGGAATAAGGATTATCCTGTGGGATAGAATAATTTCCCCACAAACCAAGTTTAACTATATCCTCTTCACCTGAGAATCAGAAGAATGTTGAAACAATAATAAATCAAGCATATAAGAATTTAAGAGAAAAATTCAACGGACATATTAGTTTTGTGCAGTTGGAATTGTATGTACAGGACTACTATTATATAGCAGAAACAGAGTTTTTAGTAAGTATTGGATACTAGTGCATAGCATAAAGAACAAGATTTTAACCATTTTTTTCTTTCTTAATACTGTTTAGTATTTCGTATCTTACATTCCACCTTAACAATGTATTATTGGTGTCAAAACTCACTTGGTATATTGTCCACATCGACCCTTATTATCTTTCCGAGCAATGACTTCTTATTTTGGGCAAAATTATAGGGATCTCCTTTGCTTCCACCATCTCCCATCATGATGTATAGATATCCATCTTCCGGCCCAAAAAGTATTTGGCCACCATGATTTGCTCCGAACGGAAGCCCTATTGTAAATATTCTTCTTACTTCCAATGGCGTGGCCTTTTCAGCCTAGAAATTGTATATTACTAAAATCAGATGAACACTAACAGCATGTTTTGCTAAGCTTCAGAGTTACTTAAAAGTAATTTTTTTAAGTATGTCACTGCATACTTTTGAAAGTAACTTTAAAACTTAGAAATAATTGCTAAGATGCATTTCTAAACACAAAGGAGTAGAAAGGGTATACCATCGATGGATTTGAAGCAGTTCCATTAGCTGTAAACTCTGAAACAACATTATGATATTTGCAATGCGGTCCTGAATCGAGAGAACCTAACTGTGAGGGGTCGCATCCTACATCCGAATTACATGCACAAATTCCACCACATCCTGGAGACTTTTCTTTGTCACAATTATATGATGCGAAAAAACGGCCATTTTTTGCGAAATCTGGATGAAAAGCCATTCCCATCATCCCGAAACTAGTATCAAGATGAACTTGATCTGTTAAGTCTACAAATGGACTTGACTCATCAAGTTCCATGACTTCTCCTGAATCCTGATTAGGAATCGTGGCCAACCAAATTTTCCCGGCCTGGTTAGAAAAGAAAGCCCTGTTGGATCCATCCGGATGAGCCACCATATTAAGATAAGATCCGTTGCCAATTTTCTCCAAACACAAGCCTTTTGGTGGAGGCAAAGTGTTGGTTTTGTTAAGAGAGACCGGTTCCCCATTAAAACAAAGAGAAATCTCATCCGTGACACCACCAAATGCGTTACAAAAATCAGATTTTGATTGCCAGAGGTCAGTGAGTTTGGATATGCTGGCATTTTGTCGCACATGAGCCTTACTTTGTAATGAAGGGGCAAAGGGAGAATTTAGGATTGGTACATTTTGGCAAGAATTCCATGTCATTGAACAAAAGTCGTTATCTGACAAAGACGAGACAGCTGTGCCAGCAGTCGAATTGCAAAGGATTGGAACCGGGCGAGGCCTTGATTTTACCTCAAGCAGCTCTGCTGAGAATGGATCACATGTCTGCAAAGATAAAGCTTTTATAAATTAAGTTAATTAAGTTTTTGATCGGAACATGAAAAAGGGGTTTAATAGAAGGAATCACACTATACTGTTAAATTGTACACGCTACAATGTCTGGTACAAGAATATCAGGAGAACATAAGATGAATTTTTTTTTTGTGAAGAATAAGCAGAAACTCTGTTTTTGACCGCATAAGGATTGATCTCTTCAATAATATATTAATTCTCGCGCTCGTAACCGTGGATATAATTAAAACTTAAGTTCTTATTCAGCTTCATCGAAAAAAAATCCGTGGAACTAAATTTACTCAGATTTCAAACAAAAGAACTAATATTAGGCAATTAGAACTAAAAGTCCATTTTGTGTTTAACTTTTTGTCAAATTCAGAGTTAATTATGTACCTAAATAGCCATTTCCCATAACAAGCAGGCATGATTATCAACATTTTTTTGCAATCTGTTGAAGAACACAGCGCAATCTCATTTATTTATTTATTTTTATGCATAAGCTTCAGAAAAGAAAAAAGAAAAATGAAAGAGAAAAAAAAAGGGTTTACAAAGTGCTGATCTACAAATTAACAACTTACTGCACAGAGAATTGATTTCACAACTGAGGCACAGGCAGTATCAGAAATGTTCATTGCCTGGAACCTATTCTGCAATTCCAGATCTTCTGATGGATTACAGCAGGATGTCCCATTATATGGACAGAATGCTAAACTGCTCTTTGGAGTTGTAGGTGCTCCTGTATATGTCACATACAAACAAGGCAAAGAAAATTTAATAAAATGTAACAATTTCTCCCAAATCTTACATGATTTCGCGAGTTTATAATCACTTTGAGCACCCTCTTTACGAACCACTTTTAAGGGTGAGTTTTATCAAGAACAAGACAGTGGTATCACAGTAGGCATCTCGTCTCACAAGACCCCTCGACGTGGATGAGGTGACTTAGAAAGCACTATTTCTAGCAGAAGAATGGTTCCATAGGGTCACTGAATCGAAAACAAGAACCATGATTACTTTTGAATTTCTCATCGCTCGTGGAAGGCCTACTGTGTACATTGATCACCTCATCAAGCACCATACCCTTTCAAGTCGGTTTTACAGATGAGTTCTATCCAAGTACTTAAAACTCGAAAACGACATTAAAGAATCAAGAATTCACACACACACAAACACTTACTCAAGTCAGTGCACAAGGGCAATGCAGAAGAAGGATAAGAGAACAAGAGAAGTACAAACAATACTGAGAGAATTTTATCCATTTTCGCTGCTTTCACAGAAAGATAATATGACAATAATTACATGCAGAAACTCTTCAATAAAAACCCCTTATCATCACTGAAGAAAAAGGTCGTGTTCAATAAAATATACATATATCCTTCCAGAAGCCACTGAAATTTCATGCCCTTTTTTGACAAGAAAAAGCAACTCAATGGGATTTGAATTTTCCATTAACCAATGCACTTAAAACCTGAAAGCTGAATTTCGATATAAATAGGAGATGACTTTTCTTTCAAGTTGAGCAATAATTCAAGACTGGATTGACTTGTTTATTGATAAAATCTCAGTGGATGAAAGTGGTTAGAATGGAAAAAATGTTTGTTTGACAAATAATTGTGTGAGATAAGAAAAAGTGGGAGATTGTTGTTGACAGTACTAAATGTACACATTATGACATTTATTGGACTGTCTTCATCCCTGTTTGTTTGGCTTTTTCTACTTTTCTTGTGAATGTTCGAAAAGGGACTAAAAATTATGTGCATAGTTCCCCAATGAATTATGATAATAACAACTTATGATAAAATTTTAGTGAAATTTTATGTTGATTGTGGGTGTTCATTTTGCTG